GGCAGTATGACCTCTGAAACGTTGGTTGACATCGACCAGACTACACAGCGCAACAACCCAGAAGACAGAAATCGTCATACTCATCGCCCTGATGATGGAGGCAGTATGACCTCTGAAACGTTGGTTAACATCGACCAGACTACACAGCGCAACAACCCAGAAGACAGAAATCTTCATACTCTGATGACGGAGGCAGTATGACCTCTGAAACGTTGGTTAACATCGACCAGACTACACGGCGCAACAACCCAGAAGACGGAAATCTTCATACTCACCGCTGTGAGAACCTCAAGTCTTACAATTTTAAATGTCTTACCTAGTTTTGACTTTCAACTAACTGTAATAATCGTACTTACTGTGGATCTGGTATGAACTTTCCACATTGGCAGTGTTGAGTAGAGATATTTCATAGAGGAATTGCATTTATTTTCAAGTGAATAGTACTGGTGGGACCAGATTTCTTGTGAATTCTTAATACAGTGTAAAGAGGAAGAGGTGATGTGCACTGCTTGCATGCCTTCACACTTTTCTATCCATTTCAGAAGCATTGCCTTTTAGATGGGTGTCTTATGGGTTGTTGCACCATGTAGTCTGGAAGAAGTTTACTGACATTTCAGAGTGCAGCTATCTACAGCACTAGGTAACTAGCAAGTAATCTGGTCCAGGCAGTATTCATGACTCCTTGGATGCAGACTGTCACTGCCACTACCACCCCATCCCCCACCTCAAGTCCTTGGTATAAAAATAATCATGGAACAATTCTAAGTATTTGAAGCAATTATACCGTAAGCTGTTGAAAAGAGGTGTATAATTTGTTATAATTCACAGGTTTTTTATAAATGTGCTGTTGATTGTACAAATTTTGAGGCAATCACCCACATAATAACATTACCAGAATTTATACAGCATTTTGAATGGGTCATTTGTTCAGAACAGAAGTTACATTAAGTAATTGGTAGTGCTGAAAAATTAAAAAGAACGTTTTTGTTATAAATAATAAAACATAGGATGTCCAATTTAAAAGACCTGTTCTTTTTTTATTTGTTATGAAGAACTTACAGAACTGTTTTTGAGCAGTCTGGAACTGCCAACTATCTTTTTGAAAGCAAGCATCCATTCTTTTTAGTGTAATCTGTGTGACTTTTTGAATCATTTCTTAGTTGGTGTTTGGCAGCAGTCCGTTCAGTATTGTTTTGAGTTCCTCCAGACTTAATGTGTTACTAAAATAAACTTGGCAATTTCACATAGATAATAGTGTGACGGGGTAGGATTTGGAGATTGTGGGGCTAAAACCCACACCCAACATTGTGCTTACCGAAGAACCTGTGCATTAAAGCAGATGTATTCACAGTGTTGGTCATTACCCCATCATGTTGAAGTCAGCAATCCCTTTCATTATCCTTCGTGTTTCATGTTGCAAACATTTCCTGTGTTCAGAAATTTTATTAACAATAGGCGTATCGTCTTATTCAGTCCTTGCCAGGATACACATTGTGAAGTACTTCACAAACACCTGCAGATGATTTCAGTGCAAAGTAATTTTTGTGAAGTAACACCTGTCATGCTCATGAATATATCATGTTTGCGCCTGCACGGTTATTTCAGAATTGCTGTGAACAGCTGCCTTGTAACTGGAGTGACCTTGATTCAAGTGTCAGGGGGAAGGTTGGGAGAATGTTTAAATGGGAGCGGACCTTCTTCTGAATTAATTTGTTTACTTTAGTTTGCTGTTGTTGGATTGTATTTTAAGTTGTACGCCTTGAATAAAAATGGTAATTAACTCTTCAGCCCAGTAGCCTTAGGGTGCGCTTTTAGCTAGAAGCCTTCTTTATTAGCTGTATCTCGAGTGATGCAGAAGACAAGTTAGTGAGCAATTTGCTGTTGAAACAACCACAGTTGCAGAGTGATTGGAAGTGGGAGAAACTTGACAGTTTGTATGTTGCTAATATCTTACTGACAAGTCATTTCAAAACTTCTACAGTCTTAGCTTTAGTAGGTATTTAATTATTGGCTTGAAGGTTAATGTAACTGCCATTATATGTGTGTGTTTGATCTGTCTTATACTTGTATCGAGTCAAATGCGTGCTTTTCGGTGAATTCTTGTGGGTGATTTCTTGATAGAAATATAAATGTGTCACAAGACAAACTGAAACCTTGGGAAACCAAATCATGCTTAATTGATTAATACCTTTCTTACTGCAAATTCTAGTTATTCGGATGGTGATGTTAGCATAGTAAATATTTAGATGGAATTGTTTTTAAATAAAATAAAATAAAAATGATAAAGGAAATGTACATGCATATTTTTTTTTGTAGAATGCTCCTTTTTAATGAAAATTATTATATGAAATGCTGATGGAAAGTGTAAAGATGTGAGGTCATATGCTTGAAAACATATTGTATATACATAAGCCAGTGAAAGAGCCACGGTGGTCTAGCGGTTAGAACGCTGGCCTTGTAATCCTGGGGTCTCGGGTTCGATTCCCGGCGGTGCCCGAATTTATAACTTGTGTTGGGCAAGGCCGTGGTCTAGGCAACACGGAATTTTCCTCCGATGAACAGGTCCCAGTCCGAGAAAAGGATGGAAGGATCCTGTTCATATGGACCTGTCGTCAGACAGAACACTAAATAATAATAAGCCAGTGAATGATATTTGAGGTTTGGATTCTGGTTTCCTGGCTTATGGTACTTTGTGTTGGTGGTTAACATAGTGTTGGAGAAACCTTATACCTACAAGACTACACATTTCCTACACAACCAGATTGGAATGGTTTACTGTTTGGAGTACATTGTCATTCCAAAGGGTTTCTTTACACCACATCATGAAGGTCATAACACTGTTGTATAATGTGTTTAACAATGGGATGTGCAGCCCCATTATTTTGTAACCATGAGAACCTTTGAATCCCATTATTGTCCAATAGTGAATTCCAGCTATTTTAACCTTAGAATATTTTCTACTTATAGCTTCTAGTTCACAGACGTATACTGTGTAAACTTCACATACTTTATGAATCTTGAGTATCCATTAATGTATTTTTTATCTGATGTATGAAGTGAAGCTTTCGTGGCGACTGAAGCTCGTAGCCCAAGAGTATTTAATCTATTTTCTATCTAGTTAATATGTCCTAGTATTTGTCTATCACGGGATGATATATAGTGCAGTGGGTGTCTGTGATTTAATTATATACACTGGTAATTGTTGTGTAGGTGGCTAGTACATACCTAACCATAAACCACAACAGGATTATTTGTTTCACGGTAATGTGGCAACTCAGCAGACCGTGGTCCACATCAGAGGAAAGTTTTAAACAGTTGCAAACAGATAGACACTTACTTACCTGACTTACGCAACTACTGACATTATCCAATGTCTTGATACAAACATATATTATTTGGGAACCAGTGACTATTTGTATTATTGTTGTGTGAATTGAACTTTGATTGGTTGATCATCTTCTGGTTTCAAATGCAAGTAAGATTACAGGTGCTAAAATTGATATTATTTTAAAATGTTATACAAGTGTTATAGCTATTACTCCACATTCATGGGAGTCTGTGGTCATATTGTTCTTGATACTCATGAGTATTTTTTGATGCAGGGATGATCCATCTTTTAATTATGTTTTTACCATAATATTAGTGAATTGTTGATCAGAAAGTGTGTGTGGATGTGTTTTGGGGGGGAGGGGATTACATATTTTTTTATCACCTTGTTCATGCAGGTCCGTGACTTTTCTAAAGCTTGTTTTTAGTAATTCTTTTCTCATTACATACTTAGTGAAGTAAGTCTTTTGTGTAGTATTCATAGGTAGAAATGTCTTAGTACCTCTAGTAGTGTAATTATTAAAATTTAAATGAAATGTGCAAGTTCAGGTAATGGAAGATGTTGAGCTTCAACAGCTGGCAGTGTTGTTTGTATAAAACTGCATTTGACCTGCCAATGCATTTTGTGTAGCTTATATATATAATTTGTTTATTACTTCACTGTATGGTGAAAAAAGTTAGAACGGTTGCTGGAAGAAAGTTTTCATCTTGAGTAATATCAAATCAAGAACGAGGTGTTTCTTACAGATGAACCCATGAAGGGATGCTCGTGAATCACGTCAGAAATCGAACCTGATACTGAAGGATTACTTAAGCAAGAGTGATGTTAAATATCTCGGTAATGACTCGTTTTGTTAAAGAAAGTTATTGAGTACCTAATATATGAATCCATTTAGAACAATATGTCTAATTTAGTAGTGTTTTTAATTAACTGCAACTGCATTTCACTAAATTTTGATTTGTGAACTCTTGGCCTGCAATAAAAGGGCGCAAAAGATGGAAATCCTTGTTCTAAAATATTAGAGCTGTGTCCTTAACACTGCCATTCAATTGAATGGGTCTCTGTAGTCAGAACGTATGTATTTCTGTGCGAAATGAGCAGTCAGCTTTTGCAGTTCGGTTTATTTTTTACTGGAAATACACGAATTTTGTCTAAACTGGTTTGACCTAGGCAATACCAGAAACTCCTGTCCTATGTATCGCATGAAAAGACACAGTGAGGGACTTTAACTTAGCCAAACTGCTATTACTGCTGACACTGGATAAATCCCTACTGGCACAGATGGATGTGGTACAAGATTTTTTTAGTTTAGGCAATTTCTTTATACTCATAAGTAATCTCTTTTTTTAGCCTAGTTAATTTTAAAAACTTGTAACAGTGACATATACAAATATGAAAAGAAATAAGTCTCTTGCAGAAGAGAATGGTGTTTCCTTCCTTCTTTCTTTCTTTCTTTCTTTCTTTCTTTCTTTCTTTCTTTCTTTCTTTCTTTCTTTGTGTGTTGAATAGAAACTTGTTATAAGACTGAAGTTTGAAGGAGCCTTACCTTTTAAAACCTTTACTCTGAGCAACTAGTTCTTTTGATGCTTTTCTACCAGTTTATTTATAATTTTTATTGTTTGTAATGTAACATGGCACTGTACCTGTAAACTGTTTCACCCTACAGTTAAATTTTGGCCAGGAGACATGCAGTACAGGGTTTTAACTCCCTTATTTACATACAATTAAGCGTATGTCAGTTTCAAGGATTCACCTTAATGCAGAACTGTTTTAACATTCATCTGTTATGTCATGGTGGTAGTTGTATTATTTACTTATCAGTAACCCCACTCCAACTTGAATTTAACTAACATGACATTTATGCGTGGGACCATGTTTAATGTCTCATGAGCTCGTCTTGTGTCATTGCTTGCAGTTTTGGAATTACTGCCAAGAAGCCAACAACTTGTTTCAACCATAAGTTATAAGCCAT